GTCCTTACTTTGCCTGTCAGTGATTCCATGTCAAAGTCCTACCTAAGAAGGAAAACACACCAAACACTTGAATACTGTAACAGCAAATACTTGGGCCGGTTGCGAACTTTGAAGCCGTCTAAGATAAGAATATTTCAAGCTCCTACTAAAAAAGAACTTTTTTTTTTTTTTTTTTTTTCTAAAGAACTATTTTGTGACAGTCACTGGCATCTTGACTTTGGCTCAATGCAAAAAATTGCCAGTTCAGATCCCGCAATCGAAACAGTCACCTCCCCCCTCTTAGTTTGAATTTGAAAGCGTAAAAACTACACTGAAGTCTCTAGTTCACTCAAGGAAAAAAATGAAGCACAGAAGCACAGAAAGCGTAAAACTACACTGAATCAGATTCAGAAGTCTCTAGTTCACTCAAGAATCATTGACAATTACTGTAGTTACTCTGTCCAGAGACTTGCCTCTGGCATTGGTGGGCAACTGACTCTCGCATTGAGACAATTTGCTGTCAGGATTTAATTTAGCTCAATGTAAATTTAATAAATTATGATCTATTCGTCCTTCTCATCACCGTGACGGTCGTACAAGACGAGCCTGCTTGCCCGGCTTTCTCTGCGTTAATGGGGAAGTCCTAATATTCGATCGCCGAAGACTCTGAGCTGGTAGAGCAGAGTATCAAGGCCCTGGTAGAGCAGAGTATCAAGTCCCTGGGCCTCGCTGCACTACGCTTGACTCACAAAAAAGTTCAAGCGTAGATCCAGAGCTCTCAGACAAGAGAAATGCTCACAATAGCTGCCGTCGCTGTCGCTGCACTGACTCTCGACGGCCCTACTCTTGAAGGATTCTCGATTTGTTTTTTGCTTTTTTCCCCCCCCCAGTCTTGAATGCTACACGACGGTGCAACGCTGCTTTGTCCGCCCAGACTGGAGGCCCGCTCTTGAAAAAGCTGAAGAGCTCGTGAAAGGGTCGGGCCCACCACACTTAAAAAACCCACCCTACCCAAGAGCCAAGCTCAGTGGGGACCACACCATTGAACTGTTGAAATACAGACCAGGTGCTGTGTTCGAATCCAGATGATGGAACTTGATTGATGAGTAAAACTAAATATTCTGAACTGCCTGGGGCCGGTCAGCTCAATGATATCTGAAGACCGTCGAGAAAAAAAAAAAAAAAAAAAAAAAAAGAAACACCCTTGCAGGCAGGCACACTTGAAACACTTCAAGACCTGTCAGAATCTAGCGTGCCTTCTGACACCTCTTGAAAAAAGAAATTCAAGAGCATCCGTCAAGAGTGAGTGCAGCGATGACTCGCTCTTGAAGAATCTAGCGTCAATCTGACAGCTCTTGAAGCTGTTTCCCAGCTTTGTTTTCTAGTTATAAGTGCTGCGGTGCCGTACAATTGATTCTTCAAGATTCAAGTGTAGTGCAGCGAGGCCCCATTTGTGAAGTGAAATGAAGGACTTCTTCGTGTCACTCGTGAACGGCCATCATCCTCCATCAACGAGTGACACGGATGAAGTCCTTGTGTGGCCCAACAATCACTGTACCACAAAGATGTATCCAAGGGACGCTGGACCCGATTTCCAGCAGGTGCTGCTCCCCACCAATAGCTGGATCCTCCCCGACGGTGCTAGATGTGTCTGCTCTTATCAGCACACCTAGCATCCGATCGGGTTGTTTAAAATAAAAAAAAAATAAAAAATAAAAAACGAAGTCCATGTGTGAACTGAAGAGGAAAATTCAATTGTGTGTTACTCCCAACTCACTGGACTTCGTTAAAAAAAAAAACAACCAGGGCACTCGGTTAGTAGGGCCGCTGTGGGCCAATAGGGGAGTGCCAGTAGAAATGGACGTCAGTCCTCTGGCCCGAGTTAGTCCCGGACTAGAGTGTAGTTAAACATGCGAGTTAAACAAGCGCAATGATGAAACAACGAATTTTTGCAGGTTCAATTAATTGCTCCCTGATATAGGGACTAGTCTAGAGATAGGAATTTTAGTGCTTCAGGTGGAAACAGTTGCATTGTGACTGGAAAGTCGGTAGCATGGACTTCTGCAGGCCTTGGCCTGTAAGCTAAGCTGGCGGATGCTGTCAGTACCTCCGGGTTGAATTGTGCGGTCCCCGGCCTCGGTTTGTTCTATTAATGGATGAATGATTACGAAAAAAAAAAAAAAAAAAAGAACTTACCGGACGTCGTATGTCAGTCGGTGATGGAGGATGATGGGAGTTCACTGGGATCAGAAACTTTAAGGAGTAAGTATGGTAGATGACGGAGTGAGAGAGAGAGTGACTTGGTGGCAGAGCCAAAGGGTGGGGGGTGGGGGATTGGGAAATAATAAACAGAAGGAAAAAGTGACATGAGAAGGCATTGTTAGAGAGCTAGAGAACGTTCGGGTGTTGTGCATTTACACCTAACGGGGAAACAAGGGAAGGGCTCAAAAGGAACGAACGGTGACAGCAAAAGGGAAGAAAATCTCAGAGTCAAGATGCAAGGTAAGCGAGGGTAGCAATTCCCTTAAAAGGGGGTGCTTGCCAGGTCCACACAATGAGAGAGAGGAGGAGGAGAGACCTCAACCTCACCTTTGACGACGACACGCACCAGCGGCACCACTGTGCTGCCGCCTCACTCTCTCTCTCTCTCTCTCTCTCTCTCTCTCTCTC